TTTAATTAGCAAAATTACTATTATTGTTGTTTTTCTAATTTATCATCTACAATATATTACCATTATATGTTAATTATAATTTCATCAGTTAAATGAGCTTAATATGATTGATGCTGCTATGAGTGTTTAATGCCACGATATAATTGTTTTAATTGATGAAAGATTTTGTCAATATATATCATTTTTCATGACATAATTGTTTCAAGTGATGATATTGTACTATATATTTCATGACAGATAAACTTATCACTAAATATTTTCAATTAATGACCATTATTATTTTTATAATATCGACAAATTTTTAAATGGTCATTGAAAACAACTTTTATGACAACATGTAATTGATATGTATTTGTTTGGATTTGTCACCATAAAAAATTTTAAAATGATGATATATTTGTCACTAAATATTTATCTTTTCATGACAACTTATGTTGTCATTATATCTCAAGTCTTTGATGACAATCTTTTTCTTTGTAATCATAGAGCTAACAATTTCCTGACAAAAGAATTCGTCGCTTTCATATGTTTTTGGAGACAATGAATATTCCATCCTACTTCTATTTTTTTGTGACACTTTTGTTATCGTCGTATTAAAAACTTCTTTCTGTGGTGACCAATATTTTGTAATTAGAAAATAACTCTTTCATGACAAATTATATAAAATATGATGATTTTTATAACGGAAACACCACAAAGATATTCGTAATTGAAATTTTATAAATTTGATAAAATAATAAAATTTGCCACTATAAAATAATATTCAGATGACAAAATTAAGTTTTCTTCACTTAAAACATGCTTTTTTATGACAAAATAATAGTTTACATGAAAAAAAATCTCATAATAGACTTGACGAAATTATCGTCATGAAAGATGACCAAATAACATGACGATACTCATAAAATTCATCAAAAGTAAAACATTTGGTGACTGTAGAATAGTGATAAATTTAACATTCATGCAAACAAAACGAAGATAATAACTGGAAATATCAAATCGCCATTAATGGTGAGCTCAAGCTCTCAATTTCATACTCAGATCCAAAAAACCCACAGCTTACAGTATTATATCCAATATTATCTTAAAGACCAATAAAAAAGCAACACATGTGCCAAATAAGTAAGAAACACGCACAAACAACATAAAAGAGACCAGAAAAAGAAAATGCGCGTTAACTAGTGAAAAACACGACTTAAGGCAAAGCAACAATCAAAGATTTAAACCTAAAATTTCTCCCTGCATGATTAAACCTAATGCACGTCCAATACAACACACCATGAATCATCATAATCTCAACACCCCCCTCCCTCCCCCCTCAAGTGGGAATGAGGGGTGTCAAACGCATTCCCAACTTTGACACAAACCGAGAGAAGTCAGCGCCACCAAGTGACTTGGTGAACAAATCAGTAGGCTGAAGTGAAGAGGGAATATGCTGCGGCAAGACCAGCCCTGCTTTAAATTGATCACGCACAATGTGACAGTCAATATCCAAGTGCTTTGTACGCTTGTGGAAGACAGGGTTTGCTGAAATGTGAAGTGCAGCTCGATTATCCACCATAGAGGAATAGGAGTACACAGAGGTAAAGCCAAGTCTTTAGCCAAGTAAGTGAGCCATTATAGTTCACACACGATTGTGGCCATGCATCTGTATTCTGCTTCAGAAGAAGAGTGTGATACAGTACGCTGTTTCTTAGTTTTCTAAGAAATAAGAGTCTGCTCCAGAAAAATGCAATAGCCTGTCAAAGATCTCCTAGTAATGGCACAACTGCCCCAGTCAGCATCACAGAATGCTTCCAACTGCATGGATGGATGTGCAGCATAGAACAACCCTAAGTTTGGCTTACCCTTCAAATATCTCAACAACTGTAGCCCTACTGTCCAATGACCTTGTGTAGGAGAATGCACAAATTGACTCAATTGTTGTATTGCATAAGAAACATCAGCTCTGGAAAGATTTAAGTAAAGAAGTCTGCCCACCAATCTTCTATACCTCTCTGGATTGTCAAAAAGTGGTGATTACAAAGAAGACAGATTGAGCCCTTGAGGCAAGGGTGTAATTGCAGGTTTTGAGTTACCAAGTCCAAGATCATGTACAATGTCCATGACATATTTTCTCTAACTGAGGTAGGTGCCAGAGGGTGTTCTAAGAATTTCTAGCCTAAGGAAGTACTTTGCTTGTCCCAAATCCTTAATTGTGAAAAGCTCATTGAGGTAAGACTTAAGATGTTCAATGTCAGCCAAACAATCACCTGTGATAAGGACATCATCAACATAGATAAGAAGTGCAAGGAGCTTGTGGTCTGAGTGCTAATGGCAGTGATCATGAGGGGAATTCTTAAAACCATAGACAAGCAGCTTGTCTGAGAATTCAATGTTCCACTGACGAGAAGCCTGCTTAAGACCATATAAGCTCCTTTTCAGTAAGCAAACTTCACCAGATTTTGCCTTGTCATAGCCCTTAGGAGGCAGCATGTAAACTTCCTCATCAAGGAAACCATGCAAAAATGCATTGTTGATGTCAACATGGTGCAACTCCCACTGTTGTTGTGTAGCCAATGCTATGATCAACCTTACAGAAACAAGTTTAGCAACAGGTGAGAAGCTCTCTATAAAATCTACCCCTTCTTTTTGCAAAAAACCTTTTGCCACTAGTCTGGTCTTGAATTTGTCAATTGATCCATCAGGATTCTTTTTGATTTTATATACCCATTTTGAACCAATTGCCCTCTTCCCTGCTTGTAGTTTAGTAAGAATCCAAGTATGATTATCTTCCAAGGCTTTTAATTCCTTGTGCATAGCCTCCAACCATCTTCTGTCTCTTGCTGCCTGTTCATAATACAATGGTTATGACATTGTCTTCTCTATCTCAGAGAAGAATAGATTTGCCTCATCATCATGTGATATCTCCACTTCATAATCTGACAACCATACAGGTGGTTGCCTATTCCTGCTGCTTCTTCTAACTCCAACAGTATTTTGTGTAGGTTGTTCACCCTCTTTGTCCAACTGAATAGTAGAAGGCTGTGTAAGATTGGGAGCATCTTTGGTGGAAGATTGTGCATGAACATGATCATCTTCCACAATTGGTATAGGTCCTCCCTCAGTTGTTTGAGATAAAATCACCTTGGTTGAAAAAGGGAACTTATCCTCATAAAAAACAACATCTCTTTAAATAAACACTTCTTTGGAGTCCAAATCATAGACCCTATACCCTTTGGTCCCTGATATGTAACCATGGAAAGCAGAAGGTAGGGCCCTGTCATCAAATTTTCTCCGCTGTGGGCCAAGCTTACTTGCATAACACAAACACCCGAAGACTTTGAACATTCCATAGGCAGACTGAGTTACATAAAGAAGTTCAAAAGGAGATTTCCATATGAGTTTCTCACTAGACAATGTGTTAATGATCTAGACTGCTGCCAAGAGGCTGTAGGGCCAAAGATGCTTAGGCAATTTGCATTGAAAAGATAATGCCCTTGTTACTTAAAGAATTGACCTGTGTTTTCTCTCCACAACACCATTCTGTTGTGGAGAGTAAGGACATGTTCTTTGATGGACAACCCCTTTTTCCCTAAAAAAAGACTCCATTTCTTTGTTGACAAATTCTCCCCCATTATCAGTTCTTATTTACCTTACTTTAACTCCAAATTGAACTTCCACCAATTGCAAGAAAGATTTAATATGAATAATGGTTTCAGTTTTGTACCTCATCAAATATCCAGGTAGCCCTAGTGAAGTCATCCACAATGGTGAGCATGTAAGAAGTATTTGTGACTGAATCTTCAAGATGTGGCCCCCACACATCCATATGCAACAGCTGAAATTTTTCTTTGCTTTGAGACTGATTGAGAGGAAAAGTGAGCATGTACTGCTTTGATCTGTGACACACATCACAGACATCCAAGTCTAGCTTGCAGCTGTCTGCTTTTATAAAATTCAAGTGCCTTAGACAATTCACTGAACTATGCCCCATTCTTCTATGCCAAAGGATTAGCTCTTGCTGGTGAGCTAAAACTCCATTGGCAGCATTGATGTAGGCATCATTCCCTTCTATTACATACAGGCCTCCAACTGCTTTTCCCACTACTATCTCAACAATTGTTTCTCCATTAATCAATTTACATCCATCACTTGTAAAAATGAACTTCAGCTTGTCATTCTCCACCAATTGGACAACAGACAAAAGATTATATTTAAATTCAGGAATTATGTGAACATCCTTCAGAATAACATGATCATTGAACTTCACCTCTCCCACTTGTGTCACTCTCACCTTTGTCCCATTTGGAAGGTTTACTATGATAGGAGTAGCAACCATTGACCTTTTGAAAACCATGTCAACATCAGAACAAATGTTTGCTTGCCCTTGTTCCAATTATCCAAGTTCCTTTGCTCAATTTGTTGAACAGTGAAAAGGCATAATCCTCCACATCTTCAGTGTGATCCACAAAGTGTGAATATGTATGTATTTCTGCATTTTGTTGACTAGAAATGTACTTTGCAACTTCCTTTTGTATCAAGGAACTTATATCACTCATTGAGTCATTATACTGTGACTTGGTTTCTGAATCCCCCTTTGAAGAATTTTCATTTTCTGCCATGTTCACATTTTGTGACTTTCTCTGTTCTTTCAATTCCTTAAACCAATCAGGGTAGCCATTGAGTTTGAAGCACCCCTAGACTTCATGCCCATTGAATCCACAATGTGTGAAATAGAGTTTTGCCCTTTCTTCCTTACTCAACCTTTGATTACCTCTTCCCCTTCCTCAAATATTGAAAGATTGTCCTCCTGCACCTCTTCCTCCTCTTACAAAGTTTTGCCCTCTTCCATTTCTTCTACCATAGTTTCCTTTCACAAACATTGCAGATCCTTCAAATTGATTTGAACCAACAGTAACCAAACATTTTTGTTTTTCCACCTTAAGTATCATAGAATATGCTCCATTAATAGTTGGCAGTGGTTCCATTAACATAATTTGATTCTTCACTGGTTCAAACACTTCATTAGCCTCATAAGAAACTACATCAACTTGGTTTCCATGTCATTATCATTGTAAGATTTCTTTGAACCACATTCACATTCAGGCAAGGATACAATGCACGAGTATTTATCCCATAAACATTTCAGCTTGGTATAATATGTAGTAACAATAAGTGATCCTTGAGAGAATGTAGCAATTTCCTTTTGCAATTAATATTTAAGTGGACCATTACTTTCTCCAAACCTCTCAGCTAGTTCGTCCCAAAGCTGTTTTGCATTTTTCGCATAGAAGAATGCTTCTACAATATCCTTTGAAATCAAATCAAGCAACAAAGAGATGACCATAGACTGTACCCTTAAGATATTGTTCGAATTCCTCTGTACCTTGTTCAGGTACTATCACTGTCCCATTGATGAATCCAAGCTTTGACTTATCTCTCAGCGCAAGCTTCATCGCATGACTCCAATGAAGGTAGTTTCTACCGGTGTGCAGATTAGTGACCAGGATCAAGCTGGGATGGTCAGATCCATGTAGAGAGAGTGGATCTATATCTCGCGTATACGTGTATCTGGTAGCTAGCTGTCGAGCTTGCTCGTCGCCGTTCTGTGCCGTCGAGAATTAATAACCCGCTTTAGATACCATGTAGAACAGTGCTAAATTTAACATTCATGCAAACAAAACGTAACGAAGATAATAACTGGAAATATCAAATCGCCATTAATGGTGAGCTCAAGCTCTCAATTTCATACTCAGATCCGAAAAACCCACAACTTACAATATTATATCCAATATTATCCTAAAGACCAATAAGAAAGCAACACATGTGCCCAATAAGTGAGCAACACGCACAAACAACATAAAAGGGACCAGAAAAAGAAAGTGCGCGTTAACAAGTGAAAAACGCGACTTAAGGCAAAGCAGATATCAAAGACTTAAACCTAAAATTCCTTCCTGCATGATTAAACCTCATGCACGTCCAACACAAAACACCATGAATCATCATAATCTCAACAGTGACAATTTCAGAATTTGTCACTTAGACCTATTATGGCGCGGCTACGGTAACGATCTCTGTGAGAAAAAAATTCTTCATCAATTTATTTTTGCGACGGGAAATAATTTTATCGTTTCTTGTAGGATCACTAGCAATCAGCCTAAGTAGTCATTAATTATTTTGCTTTCAATTTATCGACTCGGATTCAACTAGAGTAAGCCGCTTTCAAATACTTTTTTTATTTTTTTTATTAATTGTCATCAAATAATGTCTTCCATGTGAGAAAGATTATATCTCAAACCACGAGTGGAATTAATATCTGTTTGTTTCCCTTGGTGCTTTTGGATTTTTATATCATTCTTGCACTACACAATCATGAAAGGATTAATGTTTGGACCAAATAATTTCGAATTTGCTATTGACATATACCAATGAGGCTTAGGGTAGTAGTAATAGCACGATAATCTCAAAACTTTTGAGCTTAAAAAAAAAAAAAAGAAAATTGTTGTTTATTCCATTTTTGTTGCGATTTTCTTATATTTTTATAGTTTCTTTTTCCCCCGTTTTATGTCATTGTTAGTGTGTTTTATGTTTTATCGTGTGTTTTTAGTTTAGTTTGAATATTTCGAGTGATTTTTGGTTATTTTCTCCTATTTGCCGCGTTGTTCTAATTATTGGTGTGTAGTTCTGAGGATCCAACGAGGAGTTGTTCGAATAATATTTTGAGCCGGTGACTTGTGGTTGATAGAGGAATTTGTCAGCTACGCATGGGAAAAAACGAAATTCAATTTCGGCTTCAAACGAAGTCGTACGAACCAAAAACGTAAAGTCTAGCAAACTACCGACCCATTAATGGTTGAAAATTCCATAAAATTTGTATTCTGGGCAAAAGTGTGGTTTGCAAGCATCATTGAATAGAGGAGTTCGTTAGCTACGCGTAGAAAAAAACAGAAGTCAATTCCGAGTTCGGACGAGCCCAAACGAGCTCAAAACGTGAAGCCATGCATGTTGTCGAAGACCCTCCGCGGCGTAAAGACCCTCCGCGGCGCGAAGAGCACATCCTCCGCGGCGTGAAGACCCTCCGCGGCGTGAAGAGCACATCCTCCGCGCCGTGAAGGAGAGCTCTCGCGCCGTGAAGGAGTGGTCCTTCGCGCCGTGAAGGAGAGCTCTCGCGCCGTGAAGAAGACTTGCTCGCGCCGTGAAGAAGACCTGCTCGCGCCGTGCTCTGCGCCGCGAGGGAGGTTCCCGCCGTGATGCTCCGCGCCGTGAAGAGAAGGTCCTCCGCGCCGTGAAGGAGAGCTCCGCGCCGTGAAGAGAAGGTCCTCCGCGCCGTGAAGGAGAGCTCGCGCCGTGAAAGAGTGGTCCTCCGCGCCGTGGAGGCGTCGTTCCTCGCGCCGTGACACCTCTCCGTCAAGAATTTCTTCTTGAGCCGTCAATAGTTAATTCGCAGCGTCAAGAATTTCTGCCTCGAGCCGTCGCAGTTAATTCAGCCGTCAGCACTTAATTCGCGCCGTGCCGGTTGTGCTCCACTTGAAAGATTTGTCGCCGTCAGCAATTAAATCGAGCCGTCACTTGAAAGATTTGGTCGCTGGATGCCATCACTTGAAAGATTTGGTCGCTGTATAAATTCATGCCTCTGCGAGATTGGAAAGGAGGCAGACTTTTTTTGGTTCCTCTACAGTTTCCTTCTTCTTCTGCACTCTGCAACTGAACTCTCTTTCTTATTGTTCACCTTTCTTTTCTTTCTTCTTTTATTTTGGATTGTACGTGTGTTTTGTATAATTCTCCGACGACGTTGTTCCGGCGAATTGATTTGACGTTTAATTTTAAGTGTGTTCGTGTGATTTTTCGACATTTTGTGTGGATTGTAAGTTTTCGATTGTTGCTGTTATTTTGCTCAAGCTCGTACTAGGAACGTAAGAATCTTGTGTAAGACTTATTATTCCGATTGTTCACTTATTTTACTATCTCGTTTGAAGACGTAAAATTTGGCTTGTTAAATAATGGCTTGTTTATTTGTTTATGTTTAAGTGTTTACCGTAAATTTGCTAATGTGCTTTAATATTGTTGAAGCTAAATTATTATTAGGAAAGTCGAGACTTTGAGTATTAAGTTCGATTATTCCATAAAATGATATTGGCTTTGGTATTAAGGTTCATGAATGAGTTTGGTTCATTATTATGTTAATCGTTTTTAAAAATTCTTAACGACCCGGTTTAGGGAGTTAATGTTTTATTTTTAATCGTTCACTCAATTCAGTAATTACTTTTATAGTAGTTAAATTAGAAGTACAACTATCAACCCACGGACTAGAATGTCTAAGAATTTATTTTACTTTTCTGTGTGTTTCGGACAGTTAAATTAGCGAATTACGCTCCGAATAGCATTCCTTTGAGAACGACTCGAGGTCGGGTAGCTCGATTACCAAATACCCAAAATTATACTAAACACATACCGACCACCGGTACCTTATCCTAGCCGACTCCAAGAGACGAAGAAGAACCGGCAATTCCAAGATCTTTTTGACATGCTCT